AGCAATTTAATACAATTTAATAATAGTTATTACCAGCTATGAACAAGAAATTTTTCATATCTGTTTCACAACGCTTCGTCTGAATGTAACGCTATGTTAACATTTCGAACATACACGTTATAAACAGCGGGATGAAGCTAGAGAATAACACTACATAAGAATTACGTAACAATGGCTGTTAACCTTAAGTAAGCTCTTTAGTCTCTGCGTCCTGTTGTGTGTTAAACCTTATGAAAGCCGTCGACGATTTGGGTCTGCATCTGTTGGTTCCACTGCGATAAATGTACAGGGTGTCTACAAACGATCTGACACGTTTTGATCTTTAATAATTCGGAAAATAACGAAGATAGAAAGAAACTAGTTACATTGTTGGATTGAGAAACTCAAAGAGTTTTGTGTCTATCGTTAATAAAGTTGTACAGTGCTCCATTTGTTGCACGTAAAATATCAAGACGATATTCGATTTCTTGCCAGGTTCGGGCAAGCATACCGACATCCACAGTGGTTAGTGGGTCTCTTGCTCTGGTAAGAGTACGAGAACGCATTTTGCAACAGATATGTTACGAAGAATAGAGGATGATGAAAGGTTTCTTACAACCATATTGTTCTTTGATGAAGCTTACTTCCACATTTCTGGAACAGTCAATCGCCATAACGTACGCATTTGGGGATCAGAGAGCCCTCATGAATACCGTGAAATGACAAGAGGCTGCACAAAAGTGAACGTGTGGTGTGCTCTTATGCATGTTCGAGTCATTGGGCCTTTATTTTTCGCGGAAATGACAGTCACATCAGATACTTACCTAGACATGTTGCAGAATTTTGTATTCCCGCAAGTTGAAGCGCTTCAGCCCGAAATCAATTTCCAACCTCATTGGAGCACCATAGTTCGTGATGCTTTGGAGAAACATTTTCCAGGAAGATGGACTGGACGAGGTGGTCCAATTTCTTGGCCCCCAAGATCACCTGACATAACCCCACTGGACTGTTTCCTCTGCGGATATGTCAAAGACGTTGTTTATAAGACGCAGGTGAGAGACATCGATCAATTGGAAACCAGAATAAGAGACGCAATAGCCACTGTGGTTGCCGGTATGCTTGCCCGAACCTGGCAAGAAATCGAATATCGTTTTGATATTTTACGTGCAACAAATGGAGCAAATTTACAACTTTATCAACAACAGACACAAAACTTTTTGAGTTTCTCAATCCAACAATGTAACCAGTTTATTTTTATCTTCGTTATTTTCCGAATTATAAAAGATCAAAATGTGTCAGACCTTTTGTAGACATTCTGTATTTATTTGTATTTAAATTCTAATGATGGCAGAGTTATCATGATTCGAGTGGAGGGGGGACCGATTACGGTCGGTGAAGATGTCAAATGGTCACGATTCTTGCAATACAAATGCCAGTATAGCAGATTTGCGTTTTCGCTAGGTGACAACAAGGCTGTCACTTCTGTACACGCAGCCTGTGATATACAGTCTTGTAAAATTATGTTTTATTTTATTCCAAATGAATGATAATACGTTGGAGTGTCATCTTAGGCGACGGTTACGTTCTGAAGACGGAGTGTAAACCCAAAATCTCGTATAGTTACAATTATCATTACAAACCCCTTAAATCGTCCATAAAATACATGCTTCTGTATATACCCTGTAATATGTATGTAAACGGTAAAGCTACCCCTGTACACAGGCCGTGAAGTCCCATAGGATTGTGAGAGGTCGAGACTCACATTTTCTGGACAATCGGCTCACATACGGCTGTGAGTTTGTCAGCCTTCCGCACCGGCCGCTCTTTATCCCCCCCCCCAGGAAAATTCATGGTACTCATTTCTGTCAGAGGCTGTGTCAACCCCAGGGCTGCAGTGCGGCTGAAAGGATTAGGTCAATTGAAGACTCCAATGACCTCATCGGGAATCGAACCCGCGACCTTCCGGCTTGTAGCGTACTGTCTCAACCAACTACGCTACCATGTGCCCCTGTAATAAGTATGTATAAAATAAAGAGTACATATCCAAGTAAAATGTACAGTAATTTTATTTTTAATTACATGAAAAACAGACAGAAGAATGAAAATAATAAACAAGAAGTTCTGGCAATAACTACTGGCCTAATTTCCTTTGATACGACACGGTCAGCATAGAGAAAGATATGTCCAATAATGCTTCTATTGTTGCGTGTGTATTCGTTGCCGCAGTAACGTTTTTACCGAGTCGTTGCCTAGCAACGATAGAGGGATACACATACAGACACACAGACTGATGAGAGATTTATGAGGTACGCCGCTGAGATGGGCCAAGGTGCCATGATATGCATACCAAGTTTAGTAGGGCATTCAAAAGTTAATAGAAGGTGAACTACAGACATATAGACATCATGGTGATAGCATAAGCCTATTTTCATTTTTCTTTTCTCAAAAAATGGAAAGTAGGCTAAAAGGAAAACAGTGTACCTAACCACTAATCATTTATCCTGGATATTTCGGGAGCCACAGTTTACGGTCATCCGGACTTAGGATTACTGAGCAGCTATGCGCGCGAAATTGGCCACGCGAATAGTTAAATTCGCATAAGTTAAAAGAGCGTATGCTGCGAATCCTCTGTACAGACCGGAACAGATATTTTCAAAATAGAACAAGCTATTAGCATTCCACGATTTTTGTTATTTTACTTTTTACATAATTTACCAAGTTTCTGGGTAGGCATGCCCCGTGTCAAATATCTTAAGTGACCCCTCCCCCCTCTTGTAACGCTCTTGCCAGAATCACATATAGGCCTGTTGTTAATACTGTTACAGTAAACAGTACCCATAGGGCTGTAGGAATTCACACTTGACTAATACTAAAATTACGCCGCATCATAGATCAAGCGGTTAGTCGCTGGCTTCAATCCCGGATCTGGTCAGGTGGTATTTGTGGTGGAAAAAGTGACGCTGGGGCAGGTTTTCTCCGAGTACTTCGGTTTCCCCTGCCAATCTTCCTTCCACCAATTGCTCCAGAATCACCCTCACCTATCATCTGGGGCTGGTACAATAGGCCAGAAGTGGCCGCAGTTCAAGGGACTCAGTCCCACCCCACTAGCAATAAAAAAATACTAAAATTCAAACTTCTATTTCATTCTTCTTACGAAATGTACCGGGCACATAACACACACACCGGTACGTCATTTTAAGTAACTAGTTCACTCTGTGGAGCTGGGTTCGTCTTGAGAATCCACCAGGTGCTCAGTTACACAAAAATTTTCCAACAATTTATGGAACCCGAAGGTTCATTGCCGTGTTCACAAGAGTCCCTATACTAAAGTAAAAGAAAAAAGTAAATGTATCCCTGTAACAGGCCGTGGTGGTCCATACGATTGTGAGATGTTGAGGTTCCCACATTTTCTAGACAATCGGCTCATAGATGGCGGTAAGGTTTTCAGCCCTACGCGCCGGCCGACCTTTACCCCCAAGAACATTCCAAGAATATTCCTGGTACTCATTTCTGTTAGAGCCTGAGTCGACCCCAGGGCCATAGTGCGGCTGGAAGGATTAGGTAATTGAAAGAATCCAATGACCTAATCCAGCCCCTACCGCCCTCTCCTCTTTCTCTAAGATCCATTTTAATATTAACCTCCCACGTACGTCTAGGTCTTCCTAGTGTTCTCTTTCCTTCTGGCTTTCCCACCAAAACCCTGTATGCATTCCGTTTGCCCCCCATGCTTGCTACATTACCCATCCATCTCATCCATCATTTGATCATTTTAATTGTATTTGGCGAAGAGCACAAGTTACTGGTACTTACTCGTCCTTAATATTTGAAATATTAATTCATTTGTCGAGACCGAAGCAGCCATAAACGCCCTGGCACAAACGCATGTTTGTTACCTTCTTCTTTTTGTGTCAACTGTGCTTCTCTCTGTCTATTTCCAAATTACATAGCACGCTCGGGTAGGAGGGAGGCCTGACTCCCCTTCGTGCCAATTGGGTTCAGGTACCTCTGGTTTGAGTGGGGTGTGAGGTATTATCTCTGCTTCTACGTAGTGGCAAGTACCGACAAAAGTAAATAATAACAGGGTGGTCCTTTGCATTGTACGTTTACAAATGTTTGTATTTTGTTTTTTAATTATTTTGCGTATTTCTCTATTCGTCCTAGCTTTGTAATTGGCCTCTGTGCTGTTAAGTTTGCACGTAAATAAACATGAATTGAATTGAATTGAATTGAATTATTATTATTCATGTTCTCATCATCATCCTCCTCCTTATCCTTCGCCTTGCCTTCCACCATCGTATTTCGAAAGTTGGAACAGGCTTGATTCCCTATGCCATGAAACATAGAAGAAGAAGAAGAAGTAGAAGAAGAAGAAGAAGAAGAAGAAACTATCTGCTATTTCTTTAAATATTCACACAGCTGAAAATGTTCTGAAAACGTTGTGCAACTTAGTGAAATCCATATTTCACGTCAGATTCCAGTTTTTGAGAGAATTGATTTTCGGATTTCAGATTCATGAAAACAGGTGTTATCCTGGACCGAGAGGGCCAAAAATCAAATGCGCCCTACCGCTTTTACTTAAAATCCTAATATCAAAATCCATTGGAATGTGTTCAGTAATTTCGGGGACGAAATCTGCTGAAGGAAGCGACTCCTCAATATGCAGACCACACAGAAAACACCTTTCTTCTGCTGTTGAGTGACATCACCGCGCATGCGTTAACGTGTTTACTAAGCCTTTGCCCGGCAATCCGTCACAATATGTTAACGCGAATTACGCTGTAACAATGTTTCTACTGCGTGGCTTTCAAACTCTAAAAGAATATTTTTTGTACACATAGGAAATTAAAGGAAGGACTAAGAAAGGCTTGAAGACGTTCACAGGAATGTTCAAGTCAAGAGACCGCACAATTACGTGTATGGAATGTGTGGGAAACACATTAGAACCTACTAACCAAAGATGTGACCGGATTTAACACTCTTTGAAGGCACATGTATAGTTACTCAGACTTCCTACTGCGTAGCGCGTAGTTCAAGGTCAAAGCAGTATATGTATACACGTATAACACTCATTACAGCTGGCAATGCACACATCACAATAATGGAAATTGCAGCACACAAAAAATTACTCAGGAAGGAATTAAATCGTGTAATCAATTCACTATCGCACAATGAAGTTATGAGGCAGTCCCATATACTGTCACAAAAGGTCAGTGTAGATGTAAACTCGCTGAGATTTTTATCATCAGTACTTTGCACCATGTTTGTTTTTTAATGAACAGCCAAAAGTATGACATAAATTACGTTAAAGGAACTGGAAAGTATGAATACCTCATACAGAAATCTTAGTAGCCTTAAAATGTTTATGTGGTTTTAGTGTCCTTCAATAAAACAATACTGTGTTTAATTTGTATTTCTGAAAAGCGAAGAGAAGTACCGCACCAAGAAGGGGAACTAGGCCTCGCATTGAATTTATACGCCACTCTACATGCTGATATGAAAATTAGCTTGAGCGAAGCTAGCTAACAGATCTACATCGCTATATCATAATATTAAAAACGCAAATTTGGACATAAAGCATGCCAAAATTAAAGGAAATTATTCTGTATTATAATAAAAACTTCCACATGTGTCATTAAAACTTCCTACTTCCTTCTGCAAATGCGAACCATTTCTGAAATCGTTGAGAAGTTACTAGATCAGAAGGTGGAAAGAAAAACCGTAGAACCGTAGAGCTACTTTACTGCGTTAACTGGACTTAGGGAAACTACCCCATATCTTCAGAAAACATAACCTCTTAACAACTCCATGGAGTCGAGTCCTTGAGAAGTCAGAATTGCAGAGCCATTTAAATAGTTTCCATAATTTTATGGAACCCGAAGGTTCATTACTATGTTTGTAAGACCCTGCCACTGGTCCCTATCCTCCGCTAGATGAATCCAGTCCACATTCACCTCTTGCAGAAATTTTATTTAAAAACCCGGGAGAAATATCATAAGATGAAAATCATGAACATTTTTAACCCAGCGATACATTTTGTGCGAAAAGGCATTACTCATCTCAAGATCAGATGAAGAGCTCCAGCTTCAAACAACTTTTCATATGCTACTGCAGGTGATTAAAAAATCAGCAATATGCGTAACACGAGCTGGTGCGAACAATAAAATGGTCGGTTCACATGTATACCTGCGTATGGAAATGTACGCCATCTATCATGTGATTTCGTAAATAGTGCGCATTATTTACAGTAGTACTCATCAGAGGTCTCTTACATACCTCTCCTCCCCCACCCAAACGCAGCAAAGAAGGCTGTAGTTGTCATTCAAATAAATGCTGTTTCTCAGACGGTCAATTAAGGTTCAATATTACGATTGTTGAATGAAAGGCAGTTCCAATTTCGGGTTGTTTCCTTCAAAAAGGAATTGTTAGTCTTAACAATATGGATGCTCCCTCCCTAAAGCATTGTGAAAAGAAAAAAAAACATTCAACACAATTAAAATAATGATTTCACACCACCAGTCCTGAATAATCAAATACAGCTACAATCACTTACATAGTACACTTCATTAAGCAGTGTTTTTATTCTGGCTTAAAAACAGATTCCAAAATGTGGGTCTCTTCCCCATGCAAAATAAATAACTGGCCGTTTTGTGAAGGTCATCATGCAAAGCTGACGTCAGACTTGTCCGACATCAATGAAAATTGACTAAGTTCTATAATTCTTTGTAAAATTCTCCAATGTATAATTTTATGAAAATATGTCCAGCGGTTCTTCACGTGTTTCATGCATATGGACTGAGAAAACTTTGTAGGTACTCCGCACTAAAAGTTATCCTTGTACTTCTAATTAAGCACCACACCGTGAAGGCAGGTTGGGGAGTTGAAGGCTTATCTCTTGCCGCTCAAAACCCCATTGGCCAAAATTGATGTCAGAATGCACCACCTCCAAACATCATTTTACTTTGATATCAGAAAACCCGCATATAGTCCTACAAACTAATCTCTGCAAACACAGAACACGCTCTGGCTAAGTAAAAAGTGAAATGAACATATGTATTTCAAATTAATTATTGAGAATGTGTTTTATTTTGCAGGTTTTACAGCACCCTCAGTATGTACAAGCCAAATCAGTCTCAGTTTATCTAAGTTTAGAGAAGGAGATTCAAACAGGAGAACTCCTGGAAGATATCTTCAAATCTGGAAAGACCTGCTTCATTCCTAGGTGATATACAAAGCTCATATTACTTACAGGGCAAGACAGGAAGTAAATGTAAATGGACGAGCTAACAAACATTTTGTTGTTGTTTCTTTAATAAAAGTTGCCTGAAAATGGCACTGTGGATAAGGTTTCCAATTGGTCTGAGCTTGTGTTCAGCTGTTAAATGCAATTACATCAGGAAACTCTGTCTTCAGATGGACATCTGAACATGCCATCTGGACATCATATGTTTGTATATGGGCATTCACTCACTTATAAAATCTTGTTGGGTGATCAGGTGCATTAATTTGGGAAAAAACTATCTTTATGATGATAAACTTTCGCTCAAAATTGATATATCTCATCTCTGAAATGATATCTTTCTTAGTGGTGTTACAGAGACTGTCTCTGTCCTTATCATCAGGCAGTGAACACATTTCCTGGCAATGAAAACAAAGTTCATCTCAGAAATATTGGACTCTTGCTTAAAAGTGATACAGTTAATCACCTGAGAAAATTTTACCACTTTCAGCCGTTGTGAATATTTCCACCTTTATACACTGAATTGTGACACACAGGACATGCTATGCTCTCTAATATGTAGTCAAATTTCTGGCCCATTTATTCTATTTCAGTCATATTTCAGATCTCAATTCACAAGTTATTACTGAACTACTGCTAGTTACCAAATTTCACTAATGGCTGTGGCATATTGGTACAAACTGCTTACTGGAGTCCAGAAATAGTCTTCAAATATTATTTCTTATTTCCATGAGTGCAAAAAGTGGTGAGTCTGTTTCATCTCCCATACTTTTTTTCATGTATAGACAAGGGTACTCTAAAAGTAGCAACACTGATTTAATTTTGATTCATGTTGGTCTGCTGTAACTCCTCAAAGCTAATTCTGAACCATAAAAAAATATCAGTTTGTAACATAAAATAAAGATCACACTAAAATCTGTTACTTTTTTCTGAAAACTTTTCTTGATATGGGGCATGACTTCACATTAGTACTTCAAGAGCTCATTTCTGAGACCATTCCCAATCAGAAATGTCATATGAACATGAGCTGATTCTTAGAGGTTAGAGAGCTATGGGTATTTTGAGTTCACGAATGATTTCCACGTAAGTCCTTGCAACGTACAGTTCATTTTACAATACATGTTCAAAGTGGCTAACTGCAACTTTGATGCACATTCTTACTCAGTTTCCAATTTTATGTGTAATTGCAGAAATGGTGTATGGACATGGACACATGAAATTAACCACTTAGATACAGCAAGACATACAAAGGACTTTAGTTCTTGGGAGTGATACACATTCAGTAGAAAAACAAGTTAGAATGTGTAACAAAGCTGTAGGAAGCCACTTTGATTACTTATTGTAAAATGAACTTTATACAAGTAATTTAAGAACCTGTTCATGTAAAAGGCTTATTCTTGCTTCAGGTTCATAACTCCTGAGAACTGGGCATATGTTTATATATTTCAGACTGGGATTGGCCTCAGGAACAATCACTTTAAGTATTGACAAAATCATGAAACACCACGCATATTGAAAAAATATTAAATTCCTCCATACAGTATAATACCTACACCTTCAAGCTATTGTCTAGAATATGAGTACATCTGTCCCTGCAAAATATTCATGCTGATGAAGAACTAAAAATTGAGAAAGCTGTGTTTGGAAATTTCTAACACTGCAAACCAAAGTGTTCTTGTATTTTATGCAACTTCACTTGCTGTCATCCCATGACCCCACAAACATATAACAAGTAACTGCACAACACTAAATTTCAGTCATATAATTTGCGGCACTGTGTATTTCAGAGTCCGTGCTGGATCTTCGGAAATGGAAATGATACAGCTCCATTCCTTGGATGATTATGCCGATCTACCAGTTAACAAATGGAATATAAAACAACCATCTGATGATAATGAAAGGATTAGCATATTTGACACAGGTCAGGAATGATAAATACTACATATTAACAGAACAGTAAGAGGTCCAAAATTTTCTTCATGCACATTTTAAATGGCAAACACTCATACATGAAGCATCCCCAAAAAATGTCAGTATTAGGTCTAGAGTGGGTGATGAGTGTTACAAGGCCATAATGTGTCTCCTACTCAGTGGCGTGCCATGCATGGAAGCAAGGGAAGCATTCCTTCCGTAGTTAAGAAACAAAAAGAAAAGAAGTCATATATAAATAATTCAATTTGAATAATAAGGATTTGAATACTGTCATTTAGCGCATGTTCCTGATCAAGGCCACATGTCCCCTCCTTCTCCCTTCCCTTCTTGGTGGGTCGGACCAAGATTCCTTTCGTTAATCTTCGTAATAATTTGTCTAATCCGAAGGGGCCAAGGAAAGCAAATTTCAGTTTGCTGGCTAGGCAAGCAAAGGAATGTGTTCTTTTGATGGTTATGTGAAAATTAACTGTGTATGTGTGATTTCAGTATTGTTGGGCATTATAGGTAACATTAAGTGTTATTAAAATATTGTAAGTGTATATTTAGATGGCGTAAGATTGTATTTGTGATCGTATATTGACGCATCAGAAAGACGCTATCTGCATTTAAGGGAAGTAAGTCTGATATTGTGGTACAAAGGCAGGGGCATGATTATACTACACGCACAGGCCACAGATAAAATGAATGCTGGCAGACATGACTGTGCAATCAAAAACCTTTTAAAATGGGAGTTTAATAGCAAGGAATTTTCTGAAAAGAAAATAATTATAGAAAGGTGACGACCAACATGAGAGTTGCCAGAAATTAAAGCACAAACCAAATTATGTGTGAGGAAATTTAATTTGGAACAGTATTCTAAATCAGAGTGGCTATCCGGTTGCCATGATATAGGAAAATTGTTTTGTTGGCCATGCCTATTGTTTCTCAAGGAAAAAATGTATGGAACAAGACTGGGTTTGGTGATATCAACAATCTTCATAAAGCATTGAAACGACATGAGAACTCTCAGACTCACATTATTTCAACGATTCTAAGTTCAAGTAGTTGCGAATTGAACTAAAGAAAGTTACACTCGATAGGAAATTAAGTGCAGAATAAACTCGGGAAACGCATGCTACCTAGTTATCTTTAGATATTTGCATGATTGTTATTATTTTGATGGAAGAGAAAGATCATATCCATCTCCCTTAAGAAAGGAGAAAACTGGAGATACATGACTACAAATTAATGAGAACACCTGGACCTACAAGATGCAAAACTCATCTAAAACGAAAAATATGGCATGATGGAGGCCCTCATATTTTGTATTCTTTCCTCAGTACAGTCAAACTTCCTAATTAAGCATGTTTAGATGATGGACAAGATATGTAGCACACATTGAAAAGAACTAATTCTACAGAGTAGATACTTTCTTGAGAAGCTATAGCTACTCGGCTGGTCAAGACATACCCAACTTTTCATAGAACCCAAAGGTTCATTATGGTGTTCAAAAAAGCCTATTAAAAGTAAGTAAGTAAAGCTATCCCCATACCAGGCCATGAAGGCCCATAGGGTTGTGAGACGTTGAGGGTCCCACATTTTCTAGACAATCGGCTGAAAGATGGCTTACTAGATATAATCTGAACCACATAAATCCAGTCTGCAAGGGCAAACAAATGTTGGTTCTAAAACCTCAAACAAACAAACCACTTCCGAGACTTAAGAAACAGTTGGTAGGACAAGAGTAATACTGATCTTGGAAAACAGGTTATGGGGATATGAATGGGTCGGATTCAATGGAAGACTTTTATGACATGATAAATCTTCATGTTCCATAACAGATATCTGTAATAAATGTTTAGTGCTTACCAACTGCTCAAGGAATATGTATTTCTTCCTCATTTTCTTTAACACATGTATTTGGCATTTATATTCATGGGAGAACACACGCACAAACACAGACACATATATTCATTTATGTTACTAGCATAACAATTTCTAGATAATATAGTTAGTAAATCTCAAGATCTAGTGTGTGGAAGGAATACTAATAAATCTAAACTAATACCTGGTTAACTCTCAAAGTTGTATTGTATTATGAGGAGGGAACAAGGAAAGATGTAGAATACAAAATACTAATTTCCACTAAAATAAATCCACAGCAGCATAATGATATATTTTTATTTCTGTAGATTAAATAATCATTAAACAGTATTCAGTCTCAATAAAAGCATCACAGGAAATACAAGAAATACTGTACATAAAATATCACATTAGTAGCAGTACAAGAAAATTAAAATAAATCATCTACCTTTATGCTCAGAGCATTTTATGGCAAGGAATAAATTAAGAAAAATCTTTGAAACCAAGTTTTTGAATTACAATAACAATGATCTGGAATGGTGTATTTTACTCATATATGAAATAAAACAACATAGTGACATTATAACTTAGGCTTCCATGGCACACCAGCAATTAGAAATACTGAAAACATAGCCACCAATATATCAAAGAAGTGCTCAATTGAACACTATTAAACACCATACATATACAACTCTGAAGCCCAACTTTTCATTACATTACACTTTAACTATGACCAGTTTAATAAAATGAAGTGAAAAAAAAAACACAAAGAACTAGAGAACTCTGTAGCTGGCTACGTGACAGACATACAAGTTTCCCTAGTTGCTACTGCAAATGTTGGACCATACTTGTTGTGCCAGCACCGTGGTGTTATGTAAATGCATTCCCTCAGAGCTCACTCAGTTCCAGGCTGTTTCAAGTGGCATAGGCTAACTCTTTCAGTCACATCTAGTAAGTGTCAGTACATTCTTTCTTGGTCCACAGTTTTCACATTAGTAAAAAAATTAAAAATAAAAGTGAATCTGAACATAACACAAAAATTCATAAAAACTGTTATGGAGTGGCATTTGAATGCTTTGTCAGGTATATTCTTTCGCCAAATTACAAAGTCATGTAGAAATAGGTATGTCGTAAATGCATGTTGAGATTCCGAAATACTTACATCAGTTTGCAAGTAGAAAGCATTCTTCCCACTTAATTGGACTGCCTTTATTTCTTCTTTTATTTAGCATTCAATACTTTGAAAAATGTTTGTGTAAACATTGTCCTCAGTGTTTTTTAACATGACTGGACATCTATACGATTTTTTACTTCGCAGCTCTTGCATTGTATCCATTTTCAACCTGTTACAAAAGGAAATATTTTATACAGTGTATAGTTCTGAAAAAATATATAAAAAGGCCAAGTATAACAAATTCAGAGATCACCAATGGAAAAGTTACAGAACAAAATAAAGTAATGAACAATACTGATTCAGTACTGGCGACTATTTTTTCTATAAACAAATTTTAGTTTGTGGCTAAACAGTAGTTTCTGGGACTAAGGTTAGTTTACTATGAGAACAAAAGTTATTGATTCTGGCTGCATTAAGTACTATCAGACGTTGTTCAGCAGTTACGAAGCAACAGAAAGATATAAAATTTGGGTATACAGTAGTGACAAATTTTTATAGAGTGCACATCAAGTTCCTAATATGGGAAAAGTGTTAACTTGTGCATTACTTCCATTAACTTTAAATGATGCTGAATAGAAGTAGGCACAAGTGAAACTTAGCAGTCGAATAGAAAATTAATAGGAAAGATAAATTTACATATCACCTTATCAGCCTATATCTAAAACCCTAAACAAATCAGTTTCTTCCCCCATAGGACTGAAACAGATATATATATATACATACATACATACACACACACCATATTATTTTGAATATAAGATGCCCTCAAATTTAAGACACATCCAATTTTTAAATGAACGTTTCTGGAAAAAACTGGAAAGGTTTATTTATTTCAGAGAGTTTATTTCCAACACATCAATTAAAATGACAAATTGTTAGAACACGTTTAAAGTGAAAAGTAATGGAAAATATACCAAAAGGAAATAGAAATTTAAAAATTTCACTACATTCATATTCCTTTCTATCTTTTTTATTTAATGAGAAAGTTCATCAAATGATCCTTCAGTTGCACTTTCATTTTCTGAAGATGATGCACCCTCAGCACTTTATTCACTGTCATCTTCCATTCCATCTGCCGCATTTAATAAAGAGCACTTTAAACCGATTTTGGAATAATATTGCTTGGCACTTCTTTCCATGCTTTTGATATTCTTTTTATTTTGCCACTAGGTATCAGTATGAATGTCTTTGTTGAGCCAGGCATCACAGTGTTTGTGGACAAGATGCTTGAATGGTTTGCTAATTTACCATACAGATTCAAGCCAGTCTTCCATTAACTCCAGTGTCATCCATGCATTTTTCTTTGGTCTGAACTATTACAGCTTTGTACAAAATTTTCTTTTGGCGCTGTCTTTCAGTTTAATATTATGAATGGTGGTAATTTAATGCCACTTGCAGTTATATACAGCATGAGGCCGCACCATAGCTCAAGCTGTTTGTCACTGGCTTCCCACAGCAGAGGCCCGGGTTCAATTCCGGGTCTGGTCAAGTGGGATTTGTGGTGGACAAAGTGGCATTAGGATGGGTTTTCTCCGAGTACTTTGGTTTCCCCTTCCAATCTTCATTTCACAAAATTCTCCATTATCATAATCACCTGGGGCAGGCTACAGTAGGCCAATCAGTGGCCGCCATGCCAAGTGGACCCAGTTGGATTCCATCCCCCACTAAGCAAATTTTATATACAGCATGACAGTAATAAGTAACTTTCAGAGCCTGTGGTTTTCATTGCCACTTGATCTTCCCCTTTCATACAGTATAATTGTGAGGCATGTTGAAAAAACTGCAGTTTAATCTGCATTGCGATTTGACTTAACACTTATTCCTTCAGCACAGTCCAATAACAAAATGCTGAAATTCAGTCAGTTTAGTTTCATATTCTGAAGGACGATTTTGACTCATTTTCATCTGTCATAATGATAAGCTCTCTCTTCATAAACTATTCACACTGTACATGATTGTATACTGATTGTATACTTTTTACCAGCTGCTCTTTTCAGCGCATATAATAACTTTCCTTTTGAATGAGGCATAGTATGTTAAACGCTTTTCCATCAGTAAAAACTGACAGAAAACTGAACAACAAGAATGTCAGGTAACTGAACTGAAAGTGGGGGAGGTGGCTCACAGTGACAGGTGGGGGGATGATGTGGCTTGATGACTCACTCCAAATGTGTTTACATTAGGTTCTTTCCAGGCTACCTTGTGGACAGTTTGCAAACTGGTGAATAACTCTTTGGATTTACAACACACCTCAGTTTTTCAATGGGAAAAAATGTGAAAAATGCAAGTCTTATATTCGAATTAATATGGTATATACGAGTGAGTGTGTGTGTGTGTGTACACACACATACATATAAGTTTATTAAGCAGTATTTGTTCACAGAAGTTTCACTGTGCCTATACTTTCCACAGAAAATCTGGATTTGGTTCTGACACCTGGCTTGGCATTCACCAGAAATGGTAAGCGTCTTGGAAGAGGGAAAGGATATTATGATCGTTTTCTTGCTAGATGCTTCAGAAGATACAAGAAAAATCCATTCACACTAGGTCTTGCATTCAAGGAACAAATTGTATCAGATATCCCGACCACTAATACAGATATAATTATTGACCAAGTTCTGTACACTGACAACTGAACCACAATAAAGTTACCTTGCACAAACCAGATACCACATTAAACATTCATTTACAATCAGATTGGCATCATCCAGAACTGGGGGAAGTGAATGTACAGTGAAATGGTAGTACCACAAACTAAAGCAGGACTCATACAGTTAAAATCATCTCATGATGCTCAGTAACAATTTAACTCTGTATAATGAATTCAATATGAATAAATGAAATTTGGTAATTTCTAGGTGTCATTTTCACCACTGCCATGGAATTTATTTCTCTTGGTTTACATTAGCATTCCTTCTAAATGCAATATTCTGCTTCATACACCCCATATTTATCCAATTAAAATATTTGTTACTGCAATTCAAGGCCTCATTTTAAGAATAAACTTCAGACTGAGGTGAAATTATTCCTTCCAAAACGAATTAACTAACCTGTTAACGAATTCCAAGGTACATGCATGCCTGTACCACCAAGATTTGTATAAAACACCTAAAAATACAGCCACTGATTCTCTGTATGTAATACTAAAATTCATAACTGTCAGTCATGAATATGTTCCAGTATGTTCACTTTGCACTTTATCACAATTTAAGTAAAAGAGTAAAGTTGTCCCTGTACGTAACTCATTAAGCAATATGCCATGAAGGCATATGGGGAGAAGATGTATAGATCAACATTTTCTTGACTTTGGCACTAGTTCAAGGAGAATGGTCAGCTTCATGCCCCTGCTGCTTTACCCCAGGGGAAAAAGCCCCAGGTACACAGTGAACAGGAGGCTGGGTGGGCCCCAGAGCCAGTCTGGATGATGTGGAGAAAATTCTTGACCCTACTGGGACTCAAACTCCGACCCCTCAGTCATCCAGCCTGTAGCCAATCACTATACTGACTACACTATCCCAGCTCCTACTTTGTCACAGATACATCTGGGATTAATCATGTTAAAAACACAGATGCAATCATAACAGTATCACTGAATGACAAAAAATAACTTATTTTGGAACATTTACAACAATGGGTGGATCTTACAGGCTATTTAAATAGTCATTTCACAAATTCACAACTATTCTATCACCCATAAGTTCTGAGTTAATCAGAAATTAAATTTGCACAAACTTAAAAGCCTCTAGTAACAACATTAAAGCATACACTGCATGTCATCCACCTAAAATATGGCTATTGATGACTGACTCTTGCATTCTGCCTCTGGGGTATCCCTTACCAATATCCAACAATAATCATGCAACATGCTGCAGCTCTGCTTGCCCTGGTATCACTTCTTCTCCATCAGAGATATATTCCCCATTCTCATCACCTACATCACTCACATATGTTGCAAAAACATCGAGACGTGAATTAAAAAAAATTAATTTTTAACATTTTGTAATCCATAAATTTGCATGCATTGAGAAGTTCTGCAACAAATGACTAATAATTTTCTGCCTCAAAGTTCTTTAGGAAATTTGTGGCCCAACTTCACTTTAAGTTTCATCTGCATTAACCAGTGGCTGACTGGTGACTATTTTTTGCACCAGAATCAACACTTGTTGAAATGGTCATTGTTTCTTTGAATAATGACTTTCCTGAGCTTGACCATTCCAATCATTGAGGCAACAATAGAATTTTGCCTAGCCCAGTTGTAAACCAAGCAGAAATGGCATCACTTTCAATTATCTAACATTTACCATAATTGATATGGTTCATAAGGTATACGACTTCTTCATATGAACAGCATATACCATTAGAAGTGAAGAGTACTGAGTTCCATTACAGAATAAGACAGCTTTCAGACTCAGCTTCAAGGAACTGATAAACAGGCACCATTTGTTTGGATCATGCTGTTGCCCAAGGGCCTACAAGAGACAGTTCACTTCACTGGAGGGATAAAAAACGTTTTTTTTGGTGCTTGCGGAATGAAGGTGTTTTGGTGCCTATTTCTAGAAGATTCAGACTTTTCAATCTCAAAAGTCAAACATTCAGATTGATATCTTGATAAATTCAGATACAGGAGGGGTCAGACTGCTCCAGATATTACATCAGGCTCTGCTGATAAATAAGCTGGCTAAGTTACATTAAATTAAGAAAAATATATAAATAAAATACATAAGGTTCACAGAGCAAAATCATGCAAATAATTGATAAATATAAATCAACACATAATCTGTGTGACAGAACTGAACAAGCATGGATACATCTAAGTATAAACATGCTAGCAGGGACGGGCAGAACTGTAGACAGGAGAGGAGGAGCAAGTGGTAACCCCTTCTTCCATCCTAGTGCACTGTAAATCCTAAATAATCTGAAACGTTGTCATTCGAAAATTATGGGTGACAGAAAAATTGTTCTCTTTCGTATCACCACAAAAAAAAAAATATCCATTTATCACCTAAAATCACTCATAAAAATAAAAAAAAATGGTTGAACAGTGCCTTCTGAAGAAAAGATGGAATGCAGACATCAGTTTTGGCTTATCATTACCCTCATTCACTCTGAGAGCTGATGAAACAATAACCTTTCTGATTAAATCCACTTTATCTGCTCTTCGTTTTGAACAGAAGACTGGCTGCTATGGACTGTCTCCAGTTCCAGGTGAGGTGTTATGGCTGCATATGGTCTGTGAGAGTGAATGGATGTGAGGCTAGGGTAATACTGCCTGTAGCACAGGTAAGAAATTGAAATACCCAGTAGTGAGCCACAAAGAACATCTGCAACACAGAATTACACATAACACTTACGAGTATATCAGATCTGAGGTTCTCACAACAGCAAATGTGAAGATTACCGTGTTCTGGCATGTGATGCCATGTAGTGTGTGTAGAAAAGTACCAAAGTTTCAGAGGCACATGCTGCCTCCCATCTTGAGGGAGGCCACAGTTTATTCCAAAATGTTGGTGCCTTTTTAACAGACTACACAACATCACATCCCAGAAGACAATAGTCTTTAAATTAACCACAGTCTTACTATAGCAGAAAGTTTAGAGGGGCAATTGCAAGAAATAAATTTCATATGTGCCAAAGAAATTCAAATAAATTCATTTAATAGCAAATGAAGATGGTTTAACAGTTAAAAAACCTATAGACAAATTCCAGTAACAAATAATGTGGCCCCAATATAACGAATATTAAATGCATCAATCTTATTATTACCACAGAATTAAATAGGATTTTCAAAACTGAAAATGTCCAAGATGTGATAAGCTTAAGATTACAGAAATCCTGAAATATATAACAGCAGCCATTAAACTATCATTCTAGGATACACTGAATATGTATTTTAAAAATTTCCCCTCATACAAGAATCTGTGTGTTTTTGTGTATATTTAAAGTCTGATGTCTTAAAACTGTTTTCCAGCTAATCTGCAGAAAACTTACAGTTTGTTTTCATAAGTGAGAACACCATAATATGAATCCTGAGAACCTCTAATCTTACATATGAATTCATACTTGCCTTGCCAGTGATGATGGTAATCACATGTTCGACTCAATGCTACAGCCAGTGCCACAGATAGAGGAAGAAGGAAGGCACATAAACGCCATGATTTGCCTCTACCAATGGAGTTGAAAATGTGAAGTTTTCCAGCCAGATAAAACGCGATAAATCCCATGCTCACAAATGAAACTGAAAGAGAAAGATGGGTTATGGTAACAGATTCAAGTTTTGTGCTGCATGAGAATGAATAATACTGACTTATAACAAACAATCCCAAATATATCTCTTTAAATTAATAACTGCTGAAATCAATGGTAAACTAAAAATATTAATGCAGGAATTCTATTTGTTACAGGCTGATTCCAGAGAAAGCTATTCCTAATTAGAACAAATATAAATACAACTTAAAATTATTTATAATAAACAGTAAAGTTCAGAAGTTTGATGTAATAAACGGCAATGCGATGCATGCATATTTAGTCAAAGACATAACTGAATATCAAAAACAACTTATGGGCACTGCATCACTAATTAAGAAAATGTCAAAAAAAGAGTATATTAGTAACTAATTCTCGTAGATTAATAAAACAATTTCATACTCAGGAAATACTGATGTCGATCATATCACAGTGTTTATGGACAAATTAAATGAGTGTATATCTTATTCTACATAGGCCTCCTGCAAAGACACATTCCTAGTGGAGTTTCAAGTCACATCTAATAGACTGCTGTTTTTCCTAGTACAATCTACTATTGAGGTGACTATCGGCACCAGGAACACATACACACTACAATCATATTATTTTCTTCGTGAATATGCTTGAAATTAACAGGAGGCATATACAGGTAGACTTTACTCAAACATACGTATCTTATGTTATTCATGGAAATGTCACTTCCATCTTCAGGGTCAAAGAATAAGACAAGCAAGAAATGAGCATAGGGAAGGTAGCAAGCAGAGCTCTGTTGAAGATGGAGGCGACATGTTCCTCCAAAACATCGGTTGATTTTCAAAGGACTACACGGCATTATATCCAAAAAGGTAGAATTCCTTGTAACCTCTGCTGTGAGACCGTCAAATCCTACGGTTAATATTATGTAACAGCAACTGATATACTGAAAAACATGGTCACAAATGTGACAGGATCGTTCCAAAATCAAGCCAGGGAAAGATGTTTAGGAATACCTCTAAAAAGATGGCCAGATTCTGTTTTTTAATATCCATAGCAGGCCAACTTGCCTTAATAATGTAGTGAGTATTGTGATGAATAAAGTAAAGTAAATAAAGCTATCCCTATAAAAGGCCGTGAAGGCCCATAGGGTTGTGAGACGTTGAGGGTCCCACATTATCTAGACAATCGGCTCAAAGATGGCGGTAAGGTGGTTAGCCTTACGCACCGGCCGTGCTTTACTCCCCAGGAAAATTATTTCATTAATTCCTGGTACTCATTTCTGTTAGAGGTTGAGTCGACCCCAGGGCCATAGTGTGGCTGGAAGGATTAGGTCAACTGATAAAAATCCAATGACCTCATCGGGACTTGAACCCACGACCTTCTGGGTTGTAGCATAGTGCCTCAACCAACTACACTACCGTGTGCCCCATTGTGATGAATAACTGTAATAAATCACAATAATCTTGGTATATATTTATGTGCATGTGTATGTGCTATGCTACATCCAAATACATGAGGCAGTTTACTGAGACACAAACAGTACCTACTTACAAGAAGAGTGACCACTGGGGAAACTCTTGCGCCCCTCAATAATGACAGACTCCTCGCCTGTACACTTCAGCTCTGGGTTCACTTCTCCATCGGGGAAACACCTCCAAAAGAAATCAGGTCTTGGCCGACCTGTCACACTGATAACTCATTACACATGAAATGCTACAAGGAATTATTAAACGTCAGTTTCCTACATACAATATACAAACTTCCCAAACTGTCCACATACCTCACACAGTGTTGCAATAATGCTTATGCATGCTTTCCACAGAATTAATGCATAATGGGGGCAGTGTTTGCACATCTACATAATTAACACCCAAATTGACTCATGAGGTTTCAATTAAATGGCATATTGGATACCTATATTAAAAAGTGTCGGGTGAACTTCAATGCTGTTTTCATATTAGAAAACCAAAAAAAAATTATGAACTAACCAACAAAACTATGCCTACTCCGGGTGACCTGGATTTGCACGGTTAAACTAAACAGAAGGGAAAATGCAGTGTCCCTCTACTTGTTACTTTGTTTCACCAACAACATTACTTTACATTACATTACTAATTATTATGGCTCATTTTGGCCACAACATTACAGCACGATAGATAACATCCAAATAACTAAGAAATGCCAACATTTTCATATCATCTTTAAACCACAAAGTCATAAATAAATTACCTACTTCCAAATATTTTAGTTTGTGGTGTACAAATACAAGATATAAAAACAGCGGTTCTTTATTTTCACTAGTTTTATCAACATATTTGTGGACATTATGAATATTCAACTGGCACGTAAAAAAATAAATGAAATTAACTGCTGCTCGGTAGACAGCTGGTGGTTACAGAATGTCAAACAACAATGAAATCTCACTGACAGAGCCAGTTTTGAGAAAACTGACACTAAACATTTGCGCCCCTAGTGCCTGTACCATATTTTCCTGATGATACGACTAATGCATTTGTATTTAGGGCTATGGTCTTCATAGATTACTCAAATTTTAATAAAACTGTGACAGCACTTTTTGAGAAAATCACCATTTTGTATGTGTGTGTGTGTGTGTGTGTGTGTGTGTGTGTGTTTGTTTTTTGGGGGGGTGCATATTTTTGAAGCTGGAATTTCCAGTCTCTTTGCTGAATGTACTTTTGAATATCAAATGTAAATAAAATCCATCCAACCATTCAGGCGCCAGCAAGACACACGTACATAAGCACATGGCACTCCAAAAACTACTTTTTAGTAATCAAGGAACTGAGAATATCTTGACATTCATTTTTTCACAAGCATGTTTTCTCATATATCCTATGTATATGATAAAAAATGAATGGGGAAACTTTAAGTACCTTCAGTTGGAGTAAACAAACGTGTCTCTGAAACTGCTAAACAGATGATATTCCAAAATAATATGATCTGCAGCAAAACTGGTTAAATATGAAAATATTTACTCACCCACAATTAATTTCATAATATTGGTGAATACTCCATTTAATGATAATCCCAAAGAACAGCCAAGAATTGCTTGGCTAACATCTGTCTTGTCTTTTTGAAGTAAAAATACTAATAGGATTACTGCAGTTGGGGTAACAAATACAAGAGGCTGAAAAGAAAAACATTTTACCATAAGTAAGACTTGAGGTTTTCATGGCAGTGACTATGAAGAATGCCGTCTTCTGGGATGTGGCGCCATGTAGACATTCTGTTAACTGACTCAGTCTACAGACACCTGCTCACCCTGGTTCATCGATTGCAGATTTCTTATACCGTGAAGATGGAGGCAATATGGTCCTCCGAAACATCGGTTAACAAAATATCTACACGGTGCCACATCCCAAAAGACGGTGGTATTCTTCATTTTACCTTAAATCATGAACAAAACATTTACAATGCTACAACATAATTATATCAGGCTGAAATATGGTTTCATCTGAAATTCTATGAAGTGGGCAGTGGATGCTTGTAAATGAGTTTGTGACTGAATTTGAATTCCTTTCAAATAGCATAAAATACTGTCACTTAAACAGATTTGACAACAACTATACCATTAAGGAATTCTAAACATTTGGCATGCTACAGTGAGAATGCAGCACAATGTGCTATGAGGATGAAATTTAAGTGGTTAGTAGATAATGAACCACAGAAAATCCTCATGCTCTTCATAAAGTGCCACTACACACAGGATAACTGGCCCGTGTACTTACACAAAACAATAAATCTGAAATGTTATGTGACACTGATTCTCTCACCTTTCTTCAATCAACTGACTGATGAAGGAAAGTCATATGGACAATTTATGAAAGATAATGCAACAACACACACTGCAAAAGATTCTATAGATGCATTCACTGATACTTCTGGCAAATGAGTTGCATATTTAGGATTGTGGTCACTGCAACCACCTGATTTAAATCCTTTTGACTCTTATTTGTGGTGCATGGTGAAGGAAAAAATGCGAAAAATCTGGAAGAACTGTTAAGAAAATATTAGGCATAAATTTCTGCTATTCCCTTACAGGAGCTTCAACATGTGTCAGAAACATATTCTCATGATGCAGGACATGTTTAGAAGTAGCAGCTTATCACTTCAACAATCTTCTATAAAATAAAGGAACTTACACAACAGCATTAAAGTGGAACATGAATTTTTGGCTACTGAAAAAGGCCTGTGTAAGAAAGTGCCATGTCAGCACTACTTATAATAGGACATGAACCAACTTCTTTTATAATTTCCAACAAAACTCTTAACAAACTAACTGTAAATATTTTAACATATTAAGACAGCCATTGTAGTTGTTAAAAACTTTAGATTTTATATCCACTGTATTTTATCTACATTATATGTATATATTTTAACCTTTAAAAACATATTGTAATAGTGGCTTCCAACTGTATTGATGTCCCTCTGAGGATGGTCTGTAAAGACCGAAATATGTAAGGGAAGGACTGAAATAAGAAAACTCTTCTTCTAGTCACACTGGACAGAACTGTTTAATCTCTTTATGATATTGCTAGTGTGACGGACCAGAATGAAACAAATCACACTACACATGTCTTAATCACACACACAATTACATAATTAATAAATCTACAGCAAATTTGTAGTGCAGTTACAAACACCTACAATTCCACTATGTTCAAATTACATTTATTACCAAATAAATTACTAAGTAAATAACTATACACATAAATTTAACTGACCCAATTCACTATATATATAAGAATGAGCACGTACAGGTAATTTCTATACACACAAAAAGATTTTAATATACCCTAAACACAAACGTGGAACTACTGAAACTAACAATTAGATATACAATTACAGCCTCCTAATCATTAAACTTACTTATTTAAAAAATCATCAAAAGAGCAAAGGTGTGAGCCAGAAGAAATTTTTCAAGGCTACTTTCATTGTTTATATTAACTGATAAACATTTAATTGTGAAGGGGAGCTTGTTGTTTAATCCAAGAACAGTATATTCCTTTTTGAGAGACTTGTGTCACAAAAGAGTAAAGCTAGATGAAAGGTCATAATGGAACATAAGCAAGGGCACAAAAGAAAACTTTTCTTTCAGACTTCAGAATTAGGAAGAGGTACATCAGTCTCAAGATCTAGCTATCTTATCCCCCGGAGAAAGATCACCCACTGCCGACCACAAAGGCAAACTGAACAGATACAAGGAAGAGGTACATCAGTCTCAAGATCTAGCTATCTTATCCCCCGGAGAAAGATCACCCACTGCCGACCACAAAGGCAAACTGAACAGATACAAGTTCAACCATACTCCTGATAATGAACCCTCTGTATCTTACTTCAAAGACTAATACATATAAACACATGTGGTTAAGACACAACAGGTAACAAACTAATCCAAACAGAAAAAATTAAATACTCTATTTCAGTCACTACACACCACACTTACCCACAACACATTTGTTGGAACATAACTGTCACTCCTTGGATTTTTATATAACCACAGTTCATCTGGCTGAATCTTCCGCGTAAAAGGCGTTGCGCCTTCCAGTTCACTGTAATATAAAATACAAAATTAATGTCAACATTTCATAACCTTTTATGCCATGGATTATTGCATTACATGCAAGAATCACTGCAAACGAATAACACCGATGAAAACCAAATACTACTTACATGAAAATCAAAGCCAGGAGTGTTCTTACTGAAATTTCCACCCATATACTTCCTTCAATATCGCGTACATTTGGCATCATTAATAAGAATAATTTCAAACAACTGATGCCCACATCCGCAATACCATTTTCAGTTCCCAGTGTGCACCTAGCTTCCGAAGTTTAGAGGTTAAAAACACAAAAACAAACTCCAAACCTAGCGCAAATTTTGATGTGTATATGTTCCATTTTTTTTAAATAATACGTTTTCATTCAATTCTTATAACTACAAGTATTATTTCCATTACACCTTAAAACTCGATCCATATGTAACACACCACAAACCAAACAATACAACGGATCAAATATGCACCAACGTCAGCATCAGGAAATTCCCAGCGTATGGCGCCAAGATTATCGTTCACACCCTAATAAGTATCTATTAACATAACGAATAACAGCTGGTCACGTTTTCCGTGGACATATTCGCTTACTCCCCGTGGAACGGGTCCCACGGGCAAATCTATCACGGTTCTCTCAAGCAGAGTTTTTGAAACACTTGCCCGATTTTCACGAAACTCCGCATTAACAATGTGCCACTCAAGACCATAACAAAGCCATCAATTCTAATGTATTATAATCAGTAGGGCCCGGATTTTTATTACCTAAAAACTATAAATATATGCATGCAGTTATGACCCAAAATTATGTCAAATATGACCTAAAAAGTGTAAAATATGACCTTAAATATTAAATGGGACATAAAATTTAACAATTTTAATTACAACTTTTACTAGAGTTTAAGAATAAAGATGACGAATATATGATAGTAGGTCCTACTTACCAAATTAGCCTTGTTATGTCTCTGAAGGAAAGAAAACTGATGGAATTTCGACATTTC